TAGAGTTAGTCAGCCCTTTCTCTTGCATTGGTTGTAAAGTTACTTCATTTTTGGTGCTCTGCATTTTCATTATCTTAGGTATAAATATCTTTTTTCTTTTTCTCCTTCTAAAATCTTGCCTAAAGTATTGTCCATTTTCTTCTCATTTTAGTATTTCGATTAGACACGTTAGATCTCCTGTTATCCTCCATATTTCTCTTTTATGTGAAAAAATTAATTTGGTTCCTCTAGTTTGCTAATTTTCTCTTCAGCATGTCTAATCTGCTCTTAAACCTGCCCACTAACTTTTTTTTTTTTTTTTTTTTTTTTTAGAGAGAAAGCACAAGAGCATGCAGGGATGGGGAGAGCAGGGAGGAGAAGGAGAGAGATAGTCATAAGCAGGTTCCATGCCCAGCACAGAGCCCAAAGTGGGGCTCAATCTCACAACCCTGAGACCATGACCTGAGTTGGATGCTGAGGTGTCTGGGTGGCCCCAGTCTGACTGTGTCTAGGCATGCTCTCAGGGTCCTGGGATCAATCCCTGCATCAGGCTCCCTGCTCAGCAAGGATCTGCTTCTCCCTCTCCCTCTTTCTCTGCCCCTCTCTCACTCATGCTCACTCTTTCTCTCTCTCAAATAAATAAAATAAAATAAAATAAAATAAAAAAGATTTGGATGCTTAACCAACTGAGCTACCCAGGTATCCCCTGCCTGTTGACTTTTAAATTCTAATTATTATGTGCCTGCCTTTTAAGTCTAATTTTTAAAAAAAAATTCTTTTTAAACCGTGTGTTCATTTTTGGCAGAAGCTGCTCTTTATATCTTCAATCTTTTATTTTATTGCCTTAAATCTATTAAACCTATTTTTCTCTGTGACTGGTAATTCCAATTTCAGAGTCTTTAAGAGTTTGATTTTGTTCTTTTTCCTGCTAATTCTTGTACAAGATTCTTTGTTTCTTTGTATGATTTGTAATTGGACTGAGAGCTCACATTCCTTGGAAATTTGCTGTGTAAATTTTGGGGGTTTGGATCAAGTTGGTGTCTTAGCCAACTTGAGCTGACAAAATACCACAAACTGGTTTGCTTAAACAAAACATTTGTTCCTCACAGTTCAGGAAGCTGGGAAGTCCCAAATCAAGGTGCCAGCAAACTGTGTCTGGTGAGGGACTATTTCTTGGTTCTTAGAGGGCTCTTATCTCACTGTATCCATGTGTGCGAGGCTGCTCTTTGGGTCTTTTTTTTTTTATAAGGGCACTAATCTCATTCAGGAGTGCTCCTCCCTCTTGACCGTCTGTATTCCTATACTGCCACAATGGGAATTAGGTTTAAACATTTAAATCTGGGGGAGATACATTCAGTCTCTAAAGGTGATTTGGTTTACCTTTGCCAGTTGTCTCGGGGCACCATCAACCTGAAACCACTTTAAAATAATTATGTGCTTGAGTTTCAGACAAGCCAAGTAGAACAGATTATTGCCTTTGGTAAAAAACAAACAAACAAACAAAGCAAACACACATACACACACAAATATCAGGAGATAATTCCTTCTCTATTCTATGTTAAGGATGATTACAGGCAATTTTCTTCTGTTGTCTTCTGATAAAAGGTTGGCGAGGACTTTGGGAGATCCTGGCTTATGTGTAGAGTCTCTTCTTAGATTCTTCATCTTGGTAGGACCTGGCCTTTGTCTCTTTTTTCCATGTCTCATGAGACTGTGACAACTGAAACTCGAGTTCATCTGCTTATCTATGTTACTAGTTCCTAGCTTCTGAGTAATCCATACTTGAAGGCTAGGTCATTGATAAATTTTTTATTTTTTAAAAAACCACGAGAGACTATGGACTCTGAAAAACAATCTGAGGGTTTTGAAGGGGCAGGGGGTGGGAGGTTGGGGGAGCCAGGTTGTGGGTATTATGGAGGGCACGTATTGCATGGAGCACTGGGTATGGTGCATAAACAATGAATTCTGTTATGCTGAAAAGAAATGAAAAAAAATATTTGAAAGCATTTTAAGTTGTTTTCAGTGGGAGAGTAGAACAGGGTATCTGGGTTATTACTTTCAGACATGGAAGTCTACAGAGTAATTTCTGAAAAATTCCAAATTTCTAGAAAAAGTAAAAGAATATTACATGAATTGTAAAGTACAATAAGAGCTATATCTTCTCCTAGGCCTAATTGTCTTTTGCTCAACCATTTTCATATAAGTTGCAGAAATCATGTTTTTTTATTCTTAAGTACTCCAGCTTGCATCTCCTAAAAATAAAAAAATTCTCCTATATAACCATAATTCCATGTCACCTCTAGGAAAATTAACAGTAATTCTATAATATTATTGAATATATTAGCTATATTGAAATTTCCCCAGTTGTTTCTAAAATGTCTTTTATAGTCTTTCTCTCATTCTCTCTCTCTGATTTGGGACTCCACAAGATTCATGTACCTTTTTTGGTTGTTTTGTTTTTCATGACAATAATGTTTGTGAAGAGTCTGGGCTAATTGTCTTACAGAATGTCTGAAATTCTGGTTTTGTTTCAGAGTGTTCCCTTTAAAATAATAATGATTATATATATATATATGAATGATATAAACAAATGAAGTTACTCCCATGTTTACAATCTTCCTCTGGCTACTATAACATTTAGAAAGTAAAACCCAAACTCATTGTCCTGGCTTTACAAAGGTCTACATGGTCTGATGTGATTTCATCCTGTATGTTCTTCTCTACCTCACTTCATTTAAGCCATAGTGGTCTTTTTCCAGTTTCTAAAACCAACAAAGCTTGCCCTCACTGGACTTTGCATTAGCTTCTCCATTTGCCTAATATTCTCTTCCTTGAGCTTTGCTTAAAAGATGGCTCCTTATAATTAAAGTCTTGGTTTGAATACTGTCTTCTCAAAATGGGCTTTCTTACCTTGACCCTCAATGTAAAGTTGCCTTTCAGTCACTCTCACATCACCCTCCTTTGAATTCTCTGCATGGTACCTGTCACAACCTGATATTTTTGTTATTATTTTTATTGAGCTCCATGAAAGCAGGGGCTGTACTCCCTCTTGCTCATTACTATATTCCCAGCACCTACAACAGTTTCTGACACATAGCAGAAACTTAATAAATACTTGCTAAATACTGTAATGAATAAGTTGAAAGCTGAGGGCTGACAAGTAGCCAGCCATTTAAAGAGCCTGAGGGAAAAAATCTTGGCCGCGGCAACTGCCAGAGAGAAGGCCCTGAGAGAACCCCGAGGCTTGGTCTATTCTAGGGATGGAGGAATGTCCTGTGTACTTGAAGCAAAGTAAGCTAGGAGGAGAGGGAGATACAGGAGAGTAGAGAGGTCAGTAGGGCAAGATGACTTTGGGCTTTGTGGGCTCTGGTAGGGAATTTTGATTTTATTTTAAATCAAATGATAAATCACTAAAGGTTTTCAAGTAAGAGTGACATAATCTGATTTATGCCTTTTAAAGGGTAATTTAAAAACTAATTCAACTTGAGTAAGTTAGAAATAACTAATACCAGTGATAGAAAGTCACAGGTGTAAGAGATTTGCAGGTGGGACATAAGGATTCATTCTGGACAATGGATGTTGATAGGAAAACATCCTATCAACACCCAAAAAAGAATTTATGAGTAAGAAGGAATCATAATACCTACCTCTGAAATGGTACAGGCATCTAATTCAGTTGTTGTTTATAAGCATCTGATATTAAAGGTAGTTGTTGATAATATTGATAATAGGTACCATTTATTAAGCAGTCAGGCTTAACTGACTTATCTCACAGAAGCATAACCACCACTTTTATTACCTGTGTTTTGCAGTTGAGGAAACTAAAGCTAAAGAGGATAAGTAACTCCTTCAAGGTCAACCAACCCCTAAGTGGCAAAGATGTAACTCAAATCCAGGTCAAGTTTGATGCCAAAGCTGTTATTTTAACCAATTTGCCATAACATATTCCCAGGAAGAGAAATGCTGCTTGGGTCACTGTTACGGCAATCATTCAGAGAGATACTGAAAGTGGGGTTCTCTCTAACATATCCTTAAGCCTGCAGAAACATTTAAATCCCATTTCAGTGGAGAAATATTTGAAAAATAATCTAATTAAATTCATCTGATCTTTAGCCCCGAGAGAATGTAGTCTTGGTATTTTTGTGAAGAACTGAGACCTACGTTTTGGTTAAATCTGGTATGGAGACGGTGCATGGAAATAAAACTGACTTTTCCCAGTGTATCTGGAATGTAGCGGCCTGAAACTGAGTCAAGTGCCTCGCAGCTTTCCTGGGATCTGGCAACTCAGCAGTCAACACCAGTTTGCTTTCTTAACAGCTGGAAACGCCAGAATGGTGACAGGGCCCAAGAACTGAGACTGCCTTGTTCGGACTTTGAAACGGGTCCCTCTGTTCCTGTCACAGAGCCCTTTTTCTTAAACATCTCGCATAGGCCGCTTGGGAAACTCGTTCTTAGGCTGGACCGAGCTGTAAGTGCAGGACGCATTTGTTCTATGCGCCCATCTTTTAAAGGGGTCTGGGCCAGACCCTCTCGGAGCTCTATCGGAACGATATTATTCGCTCCGCCCTTCAGTGTCTGCAGAAGTAAGAGGGCAGAAGAGCAGTTTCAACTTAAAGGCTGAGGACAGGACCCAGAACGGCGTGAGGACAAGCCCCCCAAACCGGGTCCCCGCCACCCTGACTCGCAGTGCCCCATGCGACCCCGCACCGCGGAGGCAGAGGAGCGAACAACTGCCCCGCCCCGCTCCGCCCCCCGCGCCGGCCATTGGCAGGTCCGAAAGACGCGGGGCGTTGTCCGTTTGAATGGGAGCTGCTGGAGCTGGGGCGCAGGCGCAGAAGAGGAGAGCTGTGGAGGCTGGCGGCGCGGTGGGACCCCTGGGTGGAGAGGATTGCGGCAAGAGCTCTGGCCCACGTGACCTGCGGCGAGCGGGGGCGAGGGGCGCGCGCCTGCCTCCTGCAGTGCCTCCGTCTGGCAAGGCCCCCCCGGCGCGCGGACGCGCCTGGGGGAGGGGCCGCGGCCACCCGTCCGTCGCCTGAGGCTCCCACAGCTGCAGCTCCGTCGCGACCGCCGCGCTCCCGTGACTCGTCGGCCCGCGGGAGGTGAGTTCTGAGGCGTCTCAGGGCGCCCCGCGGAGGGGGGGATGACGGGGAGGCGCATGTGTGTGCGGGGCTCGGTGGGGAGGTTCTGTGTCCCGGGGCTGGGGGCCGCCTGCTTTGTTTGGGTGGACGGCGGGGGCCGGCGCGGTGGGGACCCGAGTGAGGAGACCGGGAACTGGATGAGAAGCTGCTGGCTGAGGTGCGGGTTGCTTTCTTATTGCGAAATTTTTAAACGAGTCAAGTTTGAGAGCTTTGTTCCCTAACTTTTTTTTCTTTTTAATAAAAAGTGTGATGGGGGCGCCTGGGTGGCTCAGTGGGTTAAAGCCTCTGGCTTGGGGCGCCTGGGTGGCTCAGTGGGTTAAAGCCTCTGCCTTCGGCTCAGGTCATGGTCCCAGGGTGTTGGGATCGAGCCCCACATCGGGCTCTCTGCTCAGCAGGGAGCCTGCTTCCTCCTCTCGCTCTCTCTGCCTGCCTCTCTGCCTACTTGTGATCTCTATCTATCAAATAAATAAATAAAATCTTAAAAAAAAAAAAAGATTTAAAGCCTCTGCCTTCTGCTCAGGTCATGATCCCAGGGTCCTGGGATTGAGCCCCATATCGGGCTCTCTGCTCAGCGGGGAACCTGCTTTCCCCTCTTTTTCTGCCTGCCTCTCTGCCTACTTGTGATCTCTATCAAATAAATAAATAAAATTAAAAAAAAAAATGTGTGGGGCGCCTGGGTGGCTCAGTGGGTTAAAGCCTCTGCCTTCAGCTCGGGTCGTGATCCCAGGGTCCTGGGATCGAGCCCCACATCGGGCTCTCTGGGCAGCGGGGAGCCTGCTTCCCCTTCTCTCTCTCTCTGCCTACTTGTGATCTCTGTCTGTCAAATAAATAAATTAAAAAAAAAATCTTAAAAAGAAAAAATGTGTGATGGGCCACAGCGACTCCTCACATATTCTGAGTGTAACAAACAGAGGGTTAAAAACCTGAATCCCCGTGTAATTAACCCGAGGCAGATAGCATTCACTTGTGGTCTTGCGCTTGCTGTCTAAAGCGGGCAGTGTTTGTCAAACACCTGCATTTACCACAGTTAAGTTCACGGATTTGAGGCACCGACCTGTCGAGTTACCGTAGGTACTAGTAATCGCTGCAAAAAGTTTTAGTAAGCAGAGGATGTTAAGAAAGCCCTTGCCCGAAAATCTGTATAATCTATGGAATATCTTCGAAGAGGGAAAAAAAAAAAGGTGGATAATCTATAATTAGTTTTAGTGGTAACCAGTTAGATCACTTTAACTAGTATCGTTTGAACTCTATTAAAGAAAACGAGTAAGGATGGAAATTTTATTTGCCTTAATGCATAATTTAACCTTGCCGCAGAGTTAAACGGAGTAGCTTCTTGGCTTTTATTTCTGTGGACTTGAGTTGGAGTCTTTCGTGGTATGTAGCTAAATTTTCAAGCTTCTACATTAGAAGGGTGCCCGAAGATTTCCGGTCTGATAACCACCACTGTGATTACCTCTGATAAAGACCATTTTTGCTTGGGTTGTCCCTATTCGAGAAGCAGCTTTGGTTTAATTTTTATGTTGCTTACTTGTAAACAAAGGGACGGTCACTGTTGATTGACCTGGGTGTGTGTGAGGACAGTGAGGGCAGTCCCAGACTTAACTCTGCTTTAAGCCTTACCATGGATTCGTTCTGACAAACTCCTTAGGCTATTATTTATGGTATAAGAGTGGAGCAGATACAAAGTAAAAAGTTGTGTGGTATTGTTTTAGAGGCGGTTCCTCCCAAATCTGCTTTGGCTAGTTCGGGAGTTTAGTTGTATTTTCTAATAAATCAGACACGCAGGGTGCCTGGGTGACTCAGACGGTTAAGCGTCTGCCTTTTGCTCGGGTCATGATCCCAGCGTCTTGGCATCGAGTCCCGCATCGGGCTCCGTGCTTAGCGGGGAGCCTGCTTCTCCCTCTGCCCCTCCCGCTGCTTGTGCTGTATCTCGCTCTCTCTTTCTCAAATAAATAAATAAATAATTTTTTAAAAAGATTGTTTTAACAATAAATCAGACATGCAGTGTTACAAATGTTATATTTTAATATAAACCTCAGACTTGGTACTAGGCTAATTACAGCGAAGATAGGTTTAAATGGCCTTGTATTTAAGCGTAAAATGTCTAAGACTTACCTAAATGGTAAAAATTTTGTAATTAGTTATCTGGAATTTGAAAATGAAAAAAGTGATGTAGATTTAGACTATTGTAAATCTAATAGACTTTCAAAGAAGTAATAACAGCTACTAACATTATTACTGCTATACTTTATTGAGTACTTGCGTTAAGTACTAGAGCCAGGCACTGGGTTAGGTAGTTTATAAAATGGATCTCTAATCATCACAACACATGTTGGATAAGTGTCATTATGCCCAAACCAAGTCTGAGAGTTTAGCTCAAGATCATATACGTGGTAAGTCAAACTGTGGCCTAATCCCAGAGCACATACTCTATTGCTTCTCTGCGACTGTTTAAAACTCCTCCAGTTCTCTGGATTCCATTTGTAGGGACATAATCCACTTTTAAGGTGCCTGTAGGTGTTGTGTTTTATTGGGAACTATGCAGAAATATTTCAGTCCTCCTTTTAGGACTGCTGTCTTCCGTTCAGTATCTTACAAGTCATATAATGTTTTCAATATCCTATAGTCATCTTTATGAAAACAGTAAAAAATTAGGTAAAACTTTCCTGAATTATTTACATGAATATGAATGTACTCTTCACTGTGGAGCAGATCTGTATTAAAGCCCAGTTTTCTCAGTAGTATAGGATTCGTTATTGCTTCAGAATTCTTATCTTCTTCCCAGGTAAGAAATTTTAAAAAGTTTCTTGGGCGTTGATTATGTGCAAAGCAATTTGCTTGGTGTTGTGAGATGACCAGAGAAAACTTCTTATTCAGTAGTTGCTTCTGGAGTTTTTGAAGTATCTTCCTTTTGTCTCTCTCCTCTACCCTGTGTGTTTCTGCCAGTTTATCTAACACAGATCTGACTTCTGCTATTCCTTTGTTGAAAAAATTGCAAGGTTAAATACGAGGCCACATACATATTCTGAGTCCCTAACACTTTAGTACCTTCTTAGACTTCTCTTTTCCAACTCCTAACCCAGTGTGTTTGAACTGGGCATACATTCTGTGCATTCTTACCTCCTTGCTTTTGCTTGAATCATTTCCCTGTGACTGGAATCCCTTTCCTTCATTTGCCTAATAAGGTCTACCCATCTTTCAAGATGTAGTACAGATATCCTTGCTTCCAAAAAGCTGTCTCTGGCCCTTTTTATTTAGAGTCATTCTTCCTATATCATCTCGTAACGTTACTAAATTGAATAAAACATTTTTCCACAGGCTAGTGATAACTTTCGGAAGAAGACAAAGTTACATTTTCCTATAAAGAATTCTAAATTCAAACTTTCTAGGGACCTTTTTGGACATTTTTAACCCTCTTGCATTTGGGATTTATTTCTCCTTAAAAAGAAAAACAAAGAAGCTTATACTTATTTATTAATAAAAGAATTACAGATCAGAAAGGGCAAGAACTAATATATATACATTTAGGGTGGGGTTTTTTGGTTTTGGGGTTTTTTTTGGTAGAAATTGGGCTTAGTGTGAATCATCAGTGTTTTTGGGTCGCAGTCATATTCTTGTGATCTCTCAGTTTTATAACCTGAGTAGTCATTCAGAAAGCACTGAAAATATAATTGGGAACGATGAAAATTTAGAATGTCCTTTTTTTTCTTAAGTGCCATTACTATGCCCTTTATAACTTTGGTATTGTAATACTTCTATGTATCCATTTGTATGTGCTTCAAACAGTTAACTAGAAATCCTTTTTCTTCTTCATGTATCTAACGGAAACGCTTTAAAAGGTTATTAATTTTACTAATGGATTAAAAGAACCATATCTATTTAACATTATTTTGTAGGAGAGATAATTAACATTATTTGTAAACTCTGGGCTGCAGTTTGATGAGAAATAAAACTAAGTAATAGGGAGAAAAGTATTAATTTTATTCTAATGAACATACTTATTCCTTTAGTTGAACATGGATACACACACACACACACACACACACACACACACTCTCCATGCCAATGCCAAGTGTGGAGCCCAACAAGGGGCTTGAACTCAAAACCTGAGATCAAGACCTGGGCTGAGACCAGAGTCCAAGGCTTAACCCACTGAGACACCCAGGCACCCCTATATTTGTAAATATAAATACATAATCTTGGGGCATGGCTGGCTCAGTAGAGCGTGGGACTCTTGATCTCCGGGTTTTGAGTTCAAGCCGCACATCGGGTGTGGAGCCTACTTAAAAAAAAAAAAGTTATCTTGTTGCAGCAAGACTTTTGATTCAGTAACTGTTTTGTAGGGGAAAAGGAAACCAAGATGAGGGATGTTGCATAAAAGTAATCTCTCTTTTCTCCTTGAAATTTTGAAACAACTGTTTCATCCTCTTGAATTATTGTAATCACTGAGGATTATAATTACAAAACAGCAGTTTTAGTGATTAGTGTAGTCACTGGCATAATTCATATTGACTCCATATATAATCTAAAAATAGAGCCCCTCTCTAGTTTATCACCCCCCTACCCCCAAGAAAAATCTTCAGTATCTAACTTCTTCCTGGTTTATCATGGGCTGCCAAACCAAAGACACTAAGAGTTTGCTCATGCAATAATTACTGTATCCATAGTGCTTTGTGTAGAGACTTTTAGAAACTGCTGTTGACCTATAGACATTCAGCATTTCTCATGTAAGTGGACTCGTACTTGGTCCTTTCTCACTGCAACAGTGCTTTAAATCCTTTTCTTCTAAATTACATATTGTTTTAGTATTAATCTAGTTTGAAATTTCATATATGGTTTATTTGTATTTGACTATCCAGGGAGCATAATTCATTGGAGTCCTTAAATATAAATGTTTCTCATCAAAAAAGGAAGTTTATGCATAGTTTAGTTGTTTAGAGTGGTGAACTTTTAGGTATAAA